CCTTTCATTTCATTCTTTAACCATCACCTGCAGGAGAGGCAGTAGTCGAAGGACAAAACGAAACGACAACGAAAATGAAGCTGAATTTATCTGCAATTCAGTTTAGTTTTAGTTAGTTTTGTATTGTTCATTGTAGTTTTTATTCATTTTTTTTGTAATTGTAGTCTTTATTTCAGTTAACTAAATTATTTTTTCATTGCTAGTTTTAGTTTTAGTCTTAATTTTCGTTAACTTTAATAACCCTGGTACGGACACGTGAAAAACACATAACTCACTGTCAATTGAATCCACGTCAAGTCTTAAGTCTTCGCTGGTCCCTCCGAACACTGCACTCATCACATGTGCAGTTACATCCTGGTTATCAGAATCAGCTGCATGATTGGTCAGCTGATGCGAGACTGGGATGCTGCAATGATGCTGCTTGGTTACATGATTATGATGAGTGCATGCAGAACTTGGAATAACAGCTCAATGATAAATACCTCAGCCAAGGAGTAAATGTCAGGATGTAGAGACGGCCCAAACAATTGACGCTGCATTATATAACTTAGTTTACTGCTCACAAAACACACATTTAAGTGTGCAGTCTCTTTAACTTTAAACATTTAAAGAGAATTTTGAATTACAAATGAATCATAATAACACACAACTTAATTTTTTCCTCTCTACTCTTCTTATTTTCCATCCCAAATGCATCATTCAGGGAGAATATATGCAGTAATCTACAGCAACTGTTATTATTATTAATATATTAATATAATATACATATTAAAATATTATTAATACTTCCTGCTGCATCACTGCGAGCTAGCCACTCAACAAAATCACGACTGTTTGTTGTCCTGGCTCCTAAATGGTGGAACAAGCTCCCCGGTGACATTAGACAGCAGAAAGTCTACACATCTTCTGCTGCAGACTAAAGACACATCTCTTCCAACTACACCTTGAAGAAGCTGATGTCTAATAACCATGGTTGATCATTGCAAGTCGCTTTGGATAAAATCATCAGCTAAATGAAATGTAATGTAATGAGATGGTGTCATGATGTTACAGGGATTATATTCAGGAAACGTGCTGTCTTTCTTTCACGAGTGAACACGTCTGCTTTTTGTCTGGTGCTGCTGCTGTCGGTCACACCTTATGATGTTCTGCCTCATCATGGTGAACACATGAATCACAACACTGGCATGTTCAAGCTCAGGGTTTAGTCAGTCAGTAAAGTTCATGATTTCACAAATGTTCAGGCTGCACCTCTCTGTGTCTGTGTGTAGTCTTCTCACAGCCCACAGGGGGTTTACAGGTCCACGCTGGAGGAATGTGGACAGTAAGCTGCTGCGGGTCACCTGCAGTACATCACTCCACTAAATCAACCACCAGTCTCCTGTGTATGTGTGTGTGTGTGTGTGTGTCACAGCTCTCCCACAGTGTCCTCAAATCCATCCACTGATCGGCTGTCCTCACCTGCTGAACCACCCCCTCGTAACTCTTCATCGTTACCCTGGTCTTCAGCCCCCCCTCCTAAATATGGACGCCATGTGACCACAACCTGTTTTGTTTCTCCTCTAAATGATGTTCATGTGACGCTTATCAGTGTCGATGATTTACCTTTGCAGCCGCACTGCAGGAAGTTGTGTCATTGTGGTCATGAAGTAGAAGTTATGGGTGTGGACGTTAATGGTTCCTGTCCTTCCTTTAGTAATTGGTACTGACAACTTATTTTGAGCATGCAAATAAGCAGGAGAATGTGTTTCATAGCAGACATGGATTGAAACAGCACGACAGGAAGCGCACGTTATGCTCAGCGGAGGTCCCAGTTTCCACCTTTAGATTGACTTCATGTGCACTTGTGGATGAAAAGAGCATCACCCTAAAAGGCAAAGGCAGAACACAGTGAGGTAATAGAAAGTCTGCTGCACCAGTGCCGGCCACGTATCTCGATGCCCACGAGCCCGACTCTCTTGCCCGCCACACTCATGTTGCACAATGTGGCTGTTTCAGGGCAAAGAAGAAGAAAAAAAAAAAAGCAGCAGAGACACCAGAGGAAAGCCGAGAGGGAAGACGAGGGGAGGAGGGCTCGGGGAGAAAGAATTGCAACTGTCATCACAAACAAGAACCATCTGTCTCATTTGTGTAACTTGTTTTCTTTTAATATGAGAAGTATGCTGAAGAGATCTGGGAGTTTGAGAGAGGCCTGGGAGGGCCGGGCCCTGGGCTAAAGCCAGCCTTTGCCTGGGTTCTCTGAGCGAGTGGCATTAACATCCAGCCAACCTGCACTGTTAACCCCTCACACACTGAGAGAGAGAGAGAGAGGGGGCATCCGAAAACATTTAACCTGAGCTATGCAGAGGTGCAGTACCTGAGGTGTAATTTGAACTATTAGCTGCCTGCTGTCTGGGAGAAGAGCGGGCTCCGAGATTTATGTGAAAGAGCGAAACGACACCATCATCTCTCGTTACCTCTTTACCACCTTTGGGAGGAATTTATTAGAGAAGAGCTGGTCGTGAATAACTCTAATTAGACGACACATCAATCACATTGATCATTGTGAAATAGTTTTCATGATAAAGTCAATGTAAAGATTTATGGATGGATGGCAGTCACCCACGTAATAGCCCCTCACACTGCTGTTATTACACAGCGTTTATGTTAATGTATGATTTAATGTTAGTTTGATGTTTTTTTGTCTTCATTTGCAGAATTACCGTATTTTGTTGGAGGCCAAACTGTTCACAAGCATTTAATAGACAGATGCTGTTGACCCACATTATATTGCATTGTGCTCAGGCCTTCAGCATGTGCGTTTACAGTGGTGTTAGCACTGTAGAGCTCTATACAGAGCTGAGGTGCAACCATTGTCACCAGGGTCTGTTAGGAAACCTCATTCAAAATCTTACTGGTACTTGTAATAATGTAAAGAAGTAAAAGTACACCTTTTAAAAGAGCCTTTGTTAACAGTATGTTGTGTGAGGGCCGAGAGTTATCTAATCTTCTTTATTCAGTATTTGTTGTTTTAGAGGCCTGTAACACGCCCCATTTCCCATCAGCCCTACAGAGGTAGGGGTCGAGGGTTCATGAATAAGTTTAAGTGTTATAGTGTTTTGTGTGAATTTGTGGATTCGAACAAAACCAGGTAATGATTTTCATTTCATTAATTTGTTAGTTAATAGCCTATGCATGGAGCTGTAGTTTTATTTAATATAAATCATCGTATCATTGTTTTTATTTAAAATCTGTTAACAACAAAATCTCAAAGGTTTCAACCTCTAGTAGTAAAAGCTGCAGTGGATGTAGATCTGTATTAGATAATGAAAATAGAGGACATACTTAGAAAAATCAAGGTACAGTGGAACAGGCGTGACGTCATGACTATGACTGTAACAGTGGTGGTGTACCCATGATAAGGTGTGTGTCAATGCTTTGTCTAGTTTGCATTGGAATATTCTTGCCAGAGCAAGCTAATGTCAGTCAGTTTTGAAAAATTTAATCATATCAGGATGTTTCTTTGGAGAATTTTAATGTTTTATCTATTTGACAGCTCAGTTGTTTTGTATCCTCTAGTTTCAGTTTCAATTAAAAGTAGAAGAAATGGCGTACATGTTAAAATTGTCATTGTTTTTACAGGGATTTGTAAAATCTGGTAGATGGTAGTAACACAGAATAAACTGATCACTGCTGTTTTCTGATGTTCTTTAATCTACTTATGTTGAATTTCGATCCATCAGCAGTAATTGAGCCATATATGTGTCTGTGGGATGTTTTTCCCTGTGAGGAGTCTGCGTAGATGTTAGGTATTAACAAAAAATGAGCTGAGAGTAGTTTCATTCCACAAATATATGTATCGTCCTTCATAAAACCATATTTGTAGCATGTTAATTTATACACACTCGCACACACACTAAGTGGTAAAACCCTGCTGTCAGCCTCTTGTCTCCACTACAACCACCGCAAACCACAAGAGGCATTAGAGTTATCTGACTGACTGTCTGACAGACTGCACACACACACACACACACACACACACACACACAAGCCCACAGACATTCCCAATCAGTGTGGCCACCACCACCCATCTCATCTAGGCCATCATGGCAGCCTAATGAAGCACAGATCCTCGCCATCGTAGGCCGAGAGCGGTTAGAGTTACACTTTATGCAGACGGGGAGCAGACTGGAACCAGCGTAAGTCAAAGATATTGCAGGAGAAAGAGCAGGAAAGCCTGTGTGTGTGTGTGTGTGTGTGTGTGTTTTTGTGTGTGTGTGTGTGTGTGTGGTGGGGGGGCAGTATTCTATTGATAGAGACAAGAGGAGGGAAAAAGCTTGTGCCATGTGGTCTGCATTTCACTGTAATCCCTGTTCTAGCCCGGTGTTCCTGCCTCTGTTCCCTCTTCAGCCCAAACCCAATCAGGCGCTCACTGAAACCCAAGCGGCCGCCCTGGTTCTTCCCCAAAACCAGACGACCAGGTTCCCAGCGCCGCGGGAAACACGTCCCTCTAACGATGCTTGATATACTGTATGTGAGGAGATTGTGTTTATAGGTGTCAGGGGTGCAGGGAAGGACCTCAGGGTGTAATGTACCTCACACAAACAGCACGCACATGCACACACACACACACACACACACATACACACACACACACACACACACAGTGCATGCTGTGGTCACATAATAACGCAGCTGAAAGGCACGGGAAATGGACGATTTTATTGAAATATGTGTATGTCTGTCAGCAAGGCTGTGTGTGTGTGTCTGAGTGTGCATGTGTGTGTTTATGTGTGTGTGTGTGTGTGTGTGTGTGTGTGTTTTTCAGGGTCTGGTGGTGGAATAGAATCTGCTCTTTCACTTTCCATCTTTCTGTCCTCTCATGTTCTTTCTTTCCTTCTGGGCATCATCGTTTTTGTGGCATTCTTTCACTCTCACTCTCTCTCTCACACACACACACACACACACACATAAACACACACATGACACGTAGTTTCTTGAGAAAGAATGCACACCAGTCATTTTTGACACAGCATATATTCCGTATTAACATACATTCATAGGCAGTATAGTCTTCTTCAGTGTATAAGTCTTTACAGATCTACAGTATGTATCTATAATGATAGCACGTTATTATAGGAAGCTTGGCTTTATGGTGGTGGTACAAGACAACAAGAGAGTCCTGACAGTGGCTTGAGAAACTGTGTGTGTGTGTGTGTGTGTTTGTGTGTGTCAGAGAAATAGAGATAGAAACAGTGAATATGTGGTTGGATGCTTGTTGTGGGGCGAGAGCTCTATGTGCGCTTGGAGAGAAAGTGCTTCAGTCATCATGCATGGTGAACATGCTCGGCAGCCCTCTCAGACCCCTTTGTGTGTGTTTACACTGTGTGTTTGCTGGTGCATGCACGTTGCTGTGTGTTTACTTGTGTTTGCGTTAAGCCAACTAACATCTGGCAGATGGCGGGTCCAGGAGGAGGCCAAGATCTAAATCAATCCAAATGGGCACGCAACATTTTCACAACACGATGTTCATTTTAGATCTGATCTGGAATCTGTTTCAGTACAAGGTTTCTGGTTTCCTGTTGCAGGTAGCAGCGATGGATGAATACAGGGGTGTTTTGGAGTTGGTTTTAGTGAAGTGTGTGAGTGTTTTGTGTCTGATGCCCATCACCTGTCAGTGCTACTGGCCGACAGAAAAGACAGAAAGAAAGGAGCGGACAGTGGCTTTCACCTGTTCATCATCATCATCATCATCATTTTCATCATCAACATCATCATCCTCCAGGAAAGAGAGAGAGAGTGTGTGTGTGTGTGTGTGTATGTGTGTGTGAGTGGAGCAGCATCAGGGCATTGCAGGGGGTAAAATATTGACCTAACAGCAACTGAACCCCAGCGCGGCACAGCCATGTTACACCGAGGATGCAAATCGCAGAAAGTCCATCCACGACATGCTCCTCTTTGTTGTTCAAGTCCTCTGACAGACTTGGCGTCTCCCTTTTTTTGACATCCATGAAATGAGTCACCGAAGCAGCAGCAGCAAGGAGAGGGCAAATATCACTCCTCTTGACCCCACCCCTTAATCCCACCCATCCACCTGCCCACCCATGGGTCCAGTTTGTCCCTTATCTCCGCTCATCTGTCCCCTCCTCCTAGGTCCACCCCCCGTCAGTCTCAACAAATAAGTTAAACATTACAAAAATAATAAGCATCAATCACAAATCAAATATGAGAGTGAGGGAGGGGGACTGAAAGTGAAAGATGCTCTCTACTTGAGAAGAAACAATCTGCCTCTGTAGCTTTGTAGGAAATCCCATGCATAAACTACCCATATCCATACATGGTGGCATGAAATGAATAGAATGACCTTTGACCTCTGACCAGTAGTAGGCGAGCGGGGTGGGGGGTTCGGTCAGGGGAAGAAGGAGCTTCACAAGTCCTCCTTGCTCCCTCAAGCCCTTTAATTGAGAAAGCGTGTGGGGGCGTTTGTTTTGTCCATCAGCAGTGCCTTCTACGCTCCCGATTCCATCACCGGCAGGTGTGCATCTCCACCATTTTGCGGCACTGTTTGCATTTGACGTAACAGCACCAGTGGAACTTGCAGCTGCACCTGTCCACCACCTCCACCTCCTGTGTCTGGAAGCCGCGGCCGCAGCACATCAGCTCGCAGCCGTCAATGGCCTTTGACGTTCTGTTACACTGGCGGCCCACCGTGCCCAGCATACCCGGCGTGCGTGGGTCGTAGTCGCAGAAATCTGGACTGGGGTCCAGGTAGACCAGGTCTTCGTCCGTGTGAGGTTTGAATTGGGAGTTACGAGGCACCAGGACTTTGGTGGTGCCCACCTTGCGCTGCTCCACCTCAGTGGCGCCGTCAAACTTCTCCTTGATGATGTTGCCCACCTTGCGGAATGGCGGCATGGCTTTCCAGCAGGTCTTCACCTCACAGGAGCCCGAGACGCCGTGACATTTGCACTCCACACGCATGTGGGACAGGATGGCCTGCAGAGAAGCCAAAGAACCTCAGGTTAGCTGATAATAAGATGATGCTGATGAGTAATATCTGTAAAGAGGTGGTGCTCCAGACCACTGCCAGCATCCATCTCTCGAAAACAAACTCTTGTTCTTACTGTAACAACTATAACAGGGTTTTGCACTGCTACCAGAGCTGTGGACATGAGACTTGGACATGGGTCAGACAAATACAGACTGGGACTTGCTTTTGACTTAACTGCTGTGAGACATATTTCAGACCTGAGTCTCTAAAAACTTCCACATCACATATTGATGTTACATAAGATTAATTAATCTCAAATCATGTATTAAGTCTCTTGACATCCTTACTAAAGATTGTTTAGGTCTATTATTTATTATAAAAGACGTGTTCTCAGTTTTGTAAAACTCATCATTACAGCTGTGAATGAAAGGTTTGAAATATTTTCATTTTCATTTTACTGGGCAACATTCAGGGACCAACAGGAAATTTTCACTTGAAGATTTTTAACTTGACTTGAACTTTGCTTCGTTGAGATTTGATTTGGACTGAACTTAAATAAGACTCAACTTATATTGTTTGAAACTTGACTTGAACTTTGCTAAAAAACCTGAGTTGGATTTATCTTAGATAACCTGAGTCTGGACTTGCAACTGTCTCATATAAATTGGCCTTTACTAAAACGACTTAAAACTTAACAGGACTTTCTCCAAAAGACTTCAATATACCCGACTCGGTTTTCATTTCTCTTTGTGTTGATTCTATTGTAAACTCCCAGACTCTTATGTAACACACACAACAAACTATGTCAAGGTCAAAAACTTTTTCCCTGCAACTTCTGAAAACATTTTCCTCTAATACTTGATGACGTGCAGTGTTCTACAAACAGGCTGATTTTCTTGGAAGAGCAGTGAGTTACCTTTCGTCCAGCCTCATTGTTGTGCAGGTTCATGAGAGCCCGACTGGACGACTGGCCTTTACTCCTCTCTCTCACATCCACAAAGGACTGCGAAAAGGCCACACCATACGCAATGTTGTCGCTGCAGCCCGACCACTGGAACCCTGGGACACAATTTTCAAATAGAGACAGAGTGGTTTTCTGAGTGGCTCTTTCCTCCCCGTTAAAAACATTGTATAATCACTACACTTTTACATTGGTAGTATATATATTATGTTTTACAGAAAAAATATTATTACTTTACTGATGCTGTAAAAGATCTGTCTATACACACACATGTAGAGAAGATGGCATTATTACGAACATTACATTATTACTGTCAGGTCTTTTCAACATAAAATGAGAACTGTGTGCGTGTGTGTGTGTGTGTGCATGTGTGTGTGTGTGTGTGAGAGAGAGAGGGAGAGAGAGAGAGGGAGAGACCTACCTTCTGGACTGACTCCATGTACATTGTGGTCACAGCCACATTTTTCCAGCTCTCCGCTGCTGCAGGCCCTCGTGACCGCAAACGCCACACTGGCTGCTGAGATGGCATACACAAAGGCTGCCTCACGGGTGCCTAGCAGACACACACATGCACAAACACAGTCATATTGTTTGACCATGGAACTGAAAGGAGCTTCTCACTCTGGATTTGAAAAAGAGTCGTGTATGTACAGATAAAGGGTATATTCAAGTCCAAGGGAGGGAGCCCAGACTTTAACGGACAGGAGGAGGTTAAACCACAAATGGAACCAAACTAAAAGTTGTTGCAATATTTTAAACTGACATGAGTCATGTTAAAATATTTTGTGTATATTTAAGTTAACTGATTGGTTCTCTATAGTGAGGAATCACTGCAGTGTGTAATCTTACCCTGGGTGACCACTTTGCCAAACACAGGCATTGTCTCGAGCGTGGAACAGTTCCATCGACGGTTCCGAAACTGAAACTGACACTCATCTATCGCCAGCTGGGCTCCACGACGCACCGCATCCATCACCTCCACACTGCGCTTACAGATCTGAACCTGGAGCAGAAACACACAGTTGCTACGTGAAACTAAAGAAATGAATTTAGACACTGATGTGTTGGTATCAAATACACAAGATTGAAAGATAAGACTTTTAATGGCTTGAAAGTCTCAAAGAAGCATATTTGTTTCCAGGCGTTTATCAGCATGTACATGACACGTCAAATTCTGCTTCAGGGTATTATTTTACACATTTAATCCTTCTCTTTGAATGTAATGTTGAAGTATGATGCGATCCCTCCTAGTACCTGAATAAATATTGTCCTCATATGAATTACAGATACTAAATGATGTGTTATCACAGCTCATCTATAGACTCAATCTTTGCAACAGTGATCTTCAATTTTCACCTTTTCCTCAACCATCTGAAAGTTGTATTTCCTGCTGCTATTATTAATCAGTTATTTAATTTCAAAGACGTAGTTTTTTGTTGAAATATGCCACGAAATAGATCTTAATGTGGGGATGTGCTGTCAAAGATGTGTGTGACTCACTGAACAGCTTGGCAACAGTGCAGATATTTTTCTCCAAATATTTTGTGCGAGCCTCAGAGAAGGCCAAAGACAGGGGTACGAGTTCAGAGATGTCAGTCACGTCAACACGCTTCTGGTCTGCGAGACTTCAAGACAGTTTTAGCTCTTGGAAGACATGGCTGTGGCTGATTCACAGGCTAAAAAGCTTCTTTTATTAGCTGAGACAGTGAGTTGTTTGCTCTGGAGTCTCCAGTTAGCGTTAGTTAATTTAGCTTTAATTTTGCAGAAACCTAACCTATTTTCCACTGTTTCACCTTTGAACTCACAAAATCTAGAGATTTAATCGGAATTGTATTATGTTCCATGCTTTGGTCAACAGGAACTAGTTGCAACAACAAAATCTAAACTTTTCGATGCATGCCCGCTCCACTTGGTGCACCATTGCAACCCTCCACACAGGTACATGTGAAAGCTTTTGTTCAGCCATATTGTAAAGACATCATCATTTTGAAAAGGACAGGTCTCTGCCATGAATGCGCAGTCGAACTAAACACAGGTGAATCTGCTTTTCTAAGAAAAGCCTCTACAGGCAGTGCAATGAGTCCCGCCATGTTTGAGCGTTTGTGTTGATTGGGTAACCAGGATGCATCAAAAGAACCATGGACACAGAGTTATCATGTTTGAATCATAATTGTCAGTAGTTAAAGGTGTGAACCTGTCTCTGGATGAGGCCTCGTAACCTCTCGCACGTCTCCTCATCCCTGATGCTTCCCACTGACGACAGCTTGGCCAAGTACCTGGCAGAAAAAGAAAAGCACACAAAAGGACCTTTTTTAATATTTTAAAAGTAAAAAGAACGTTATTCACAGGGGACTTTAAAGTACAAGTAGAAGATGTTGAAATGACCGAGTCTGATCTCTGCAGGTTCAAGAGGTAAATTCTAAGACACACACATGATTTCAACAAGTTACCCCCACATTTAATGTTTCGTTTCAAACCACGGTGGTTAAATTGGACGACAGGAGAGGAGAGTTTGTTCCCATGAGGTTGTGGGAATGTTTTGGGTAAATGTCTGGTACTGAGGACACTGAGAGGAGGGAAAGTGGTTTATCACACACACCACCTCCAGGTCAGGCAGATATCATAATCTGAGAAAATGGCATTGGTCTGGATGCCTTGACCCTCACACATCCACCTCACCTCACTTCAGTCTCATATCTCGTCGGCCAGCTGCACCCTACAGAAATAGGTTTTCTTCAGTGAGTGTCCCACAGAGGGAGCAGCCCTGATTATGTACTGTCTACACTGCAAAGTGTCTGACGACGTCATTTAAACACATGTTGAGTCTGTAAGTCCAGTGGGTTTTTCTAAAACAAAGAGAGAGGTGATAATTCCTCACCTGACAGACATTATTCTATGCACTTGATTCAAAGAAACTTCCTACAAGTTGCACTGTAAAAAGTGGAAATTAGGTGCCATTTAGATTTTTCTCATTTGAATATTTAGACGTATTCCTATATTTTTATCACAAAATAGTATTAATTCATGTTTTCAGATTGTTTAATCACGATCTAAAAATCACAGAACACATGGGAAAACAAGTAGGATCCTGCGTACAATAGGCAGGTTTTGAATATCAAATGGCACTTAATAAAAACAAATTCCAGCAAAATTAACTTTTAGGCTGTTGCAAGTACAAGTAGACATGTTGTTTTTCTCAGGCTTGTTTTCTGGTACTCAGGTTATGAGTTTCCCAAGACCACACATACCTCAGTGAAGCCCTGTCTGCCCATCTCTATCAAACCCTGACACAGATCCAGACAGCAAAGGATTCTGCCGTCAGATTATTGACAGTGGTCTTAGCAGCAGTGTTTTACACCAGAGCACATGGTTGATAGGTATGAGCATTTCTGCATGACATCCCGATTATTTATCTTCAAAGGTCCAGCTGGTAGCTACATCTCAGCTCTGTGAACCCTCCTGAGTCTGGTTGCTAACAGGACAGAAGTACTGGACGTCTAGCGTTAGTGCATGATGTTGTAGTATAATTAGTATATCATCCTCACACAGGTCAAACAGCTCCTCCCCTCCATTCACCCTTTCATCTCCTCCTCTCAACAGCCCAGATAATCTCTCCTCTCTTTCTCCCCGCCTCTTTGATGGCTGCCTTCTTCTCTTCCCATCCAGACAGTGTCAGTATTTAACACTCATCGCTGTGATAACCCCGCTCTCTCCCACTCCACCTCATCTCAGCCACATCCGCTCACATCCACCCTTGTTGGTGACCTCACTCGCTCGTAACGTTGACCACCACTGAGGCGTCATTATCATTAATATTCCTCAGAGTGTCTGCAATGTCTTCATGTCTGGAAATCCCAACATTTTGTTGAAGCTGCACTGATCAGTATTGCTTCATTAGCATTAAGTGACTGATGTGTGAAGGATTGCTGTAGTTTCCCTCACCTTTGCAGACTGTTTGGTGGATTGCAAAAAAAAAAAACTTGACTGGCTCTGATAAGGGCACTACACTACCCAATAAAAGACTAGCTGCTAAACATAGTGTGGCATTTGGCAGCTAAACAGCCAGGTATTCCCCTTAAGGAACTGGTGGAGACCAAAAATAGAAACAAAAGGATCAGGTGGATGGAAGCAAATTAAGTAAAACAATTGAATGTTTTTTTGCTGTGTATTTCTTGTATAAATGGATAACTGTTTGTGGTAGTGGGGGGTGGTTAGTGTCGGTGGCAGGAGGGAGAGAGAGGGCAGGTGGCTCAGGGAGAGAGTCTGATTGTGTACAGGTGTACTGCATTGGCTAATGACTCTCTCCCCACCTTATATCATCATTAGCATGCTGGGACACGACACACACACACACATGAGGAGAGGCTGTAGGCAACCTGGAGAAGCCCAGCTAACGAACACTGAGATATGCATGTGTATATGTGTGTGAAAAGAAATTAAGTTAAGTTAACCTACTGCTGACTTGCATCTTCTGTGACGAGGAACCCGCGGTGGCACGAGCGTGTTACACTGTTTTTTAACATATTCTTCATGAGAGTACGGTTGTGTTTTCAGCTCGTTCTTCTGCTCCCACAAGGTCAGAAAAATCAATCCGTGCAGATTTAACAGAGGAGTCTTGTTCATTCGTTGCAAGGATGCCAATGTAATGTCACATGTAACAAAATATATAACCAAACATCATTTACAAACAGTTTGGATCACACAGTCAATTCAGTTTCACAATTTTAGAGAAACAACAGCGTGACTCCGACTCTCTTTGAACAGAAAACCAGAAAATGAAAAGAGGTTCAAAACAGGCTTCACTATCTATGAGGTTATTTCTCAACAGGTCCCCCTCATGCCCCCCCCTTCCAGCTCAGCTCTGCCCTGCACTGATTTACTCCACTGCAGTTGTGAGGCTTTCATCAAAGCCATGTGGGATGTTTGATCCCCCTTTGTTGTTTGGCGTAGCCCTGGGCAGGGCACTGCGTTCGGGCTGAGGCATCCAGCTGGGAGAGCATCAGACAGAAAATACGCGACAACAACAGAGAGCTGCTCCACCGACGGGCAGCACCACACACACAAAAAGACACACACACAGCATCCCACTGGCCTGACATTCACCCTGGAAACATTTAATAAACATCGGATAAGCTGTTATTCAGGTGATGTTCCTGCGTGTGTGTATATACATGCGTGGGAAAAGTCTAGTGCAGGCCTTGAGCGAGTGTGTGTGAGCGTTTGCTGCCCTGTCTCATTTTATCTGCTCATTCTACTGTGTGTACCCTTCACTTCCCAGAGACGAGGTTAACAAAACACCTCAACGCAGAGACACAGGAGTCAAACCGTAGAAGGACAGAGCAACACACACACACGCACCCACACACACATGCATCATACCACATCTCATCTTCATTCCTCTCCCTCTTCTCTCTCTAGCCTCTGGTGGTTGCGTGCTTAAATCCCAGGGGCCTAAGCCCAGTGGAGCCAGTCATGTTGTGAAGGCTGCCATGTGTAATGCAACACAAACACACAGCGGCCTGCGAACACACTAGTGTCCAGGTGGAATGCTCCGTACCTCCCACCCTGAGCCCCCCACAGACTCAAGGGAGGCTAAAACTGAAAATGCGAGATAATTTCAAGCAGAGGAGACACTATGACGCACGTTCTTATCTGCAGACAAGAAAAACGAAGGATAAAACGCATATATCAGCTTTTAACCTTTCTAAATATGAATTACTGCATTTTCAATTCAAATAGTTATTATCAGATTAGGTGCTTCAGTGTAAGAGTGCTGGATTCATGTTTTAGTTGATCAAAACAAGAAATAAATCAACAATTTTAATGGTCAAATCATAGTTAAGTCATATGTAACAAAACAATCTAAACTCAGCTTCATTTTGAATGAAGACAGAGAAGGAGCTGAATCTTAGATATGGCCTATTTTGTTGCACATACTATCACCACAAGCTCAGTTTTTGTTGACATTTCCTGGAAATGAATTTCTTGCAGAAAGTTAGCTTAGCTGAGCATAAAGAGTGGAAACATCTTGCATAGCTCTGCCTGAGAGAAGATCCATGTGCATCCTTTATGCTCTTTAATAAACATGTTACTTATTTTCTAACCTGGACTGAGGTGTAAAAACTGGAGTGAAAACTATTTTTGGGGTGGTTTTGTATTAAGAATAGCAACCTCACATAGAATGGAATTGGCATTATTCATTACTCATGTATGTTTCCAAAAATGTCTTTTTTTAAGACAATAAATAAAAAAAATGAATTTTCACTTGTTCTTGGCTTCTTAATGAAATTTAAGAATTTCCTAATTTTTTATCTTTGGATTTGTAGATATTCCTTTTCTAATTCTGTCAATTCTAGGGAAATCTAGGTCAGTAGTTAAGATACCTCAACCTTATACAATCCGCTGTTTTCTATTTTTATGTAGTTCAAGGTTAAGTCCCATGCACCCTTCCTATACCTTACTCCCATAAAACACTCATTCTGGCTGAAATGTATCTGACTAATCAATTTTCCGCAACTCTGGGTTGAAACTCTCTCAATTCAATATTGAATATATTGCTTATAAAAATATTTTTACATCTTCAACTATAAAGGAAGAGCAGTGCAGAAAAGGAACAAACAGGGGAGAGGACGTAAGGAAGCTGGATGCATCTGCATGACAGTAAACACACACACACACGCACAAAGGGACACAAATGCTCACAAACTGTAGCTCACTCTCTGCCTCCATCATCTCTAATGTGTATTTATATGAAAATATCCTGGTGTTTGCCTTTCCAGCACTGAGCACACAGCGGAGGTACACACTGACAGGTAAATATAGCATGGATTGGAAATGCAAGGAGCAGAGCTGCAAGAAAGAGTCTAAGAAACGTCTTTTCTACTGAGCTGCACGGCTCTTAAAGGAACCAACAGAACTGCAGGCAACGCTGCAACAACAAGTTACAGTCGAGGTTTTACTTGAGGCACAATATTTTTCTTTAGTTTCAGACCAACAAACTGCCATGAGGAGAATTAAACTGAAATGAAGCGACAGCTCAGTTTCACAACCACAAACAATAAAGCTTCAGATTCAGCGCTGCCAGCAGAGAGGCTGCAGGAGACTTCAAGTAAAGATAAATGCTGGTGTGACCTGAGCTAACCCTCCCTGTCCCGTCTGCAGTGGACACCTACAGTATGTAAGACATGTTGTGACCTCTAGAGGGCACTATTCTCCCAGTTTACCTGTAGATATCTCACTCGAGAGAACAGTTTTAGACGTCAGTGTGTTGGCAGTT